ATCACCACTTAGGAGAAGCCAAGCCATTTAATTTCAAACCTCTCATAGTTAACTGAGTTGGCGCAAAGAATTTGTGGTCAGGGTGAGCGCTGTAGTGATCCTATGCTAAGTGTTAGTGTGCGCTTCAGGACGGAGGCGACCGTCTATTCTGATGGGTCACCTGGTAGGGTGATTTCATCGGTGGTCTGTTATTCTGCGTCCTCATTTGTCGGTGGCCCTTGAGTTTGACCTTTCCTGCCTTTGTTCTTCGGTCGGTGCTCCAGTGATCACCGTCCTCAGCCACTTTGGGTTCGATACTGTGACCTTTGTAGGTGCAAATCCGAGGATGTTCCTGTTTCTTAGTTTGGCAATTCTATAGGCGGTTGTAGTTGCGTTTCTTGTCTGAGATGTTTGTCCATCTCGCACAGGTATGCATAAATAAATTCTCATTCAACATGCCAGTTGGTCGAATTACTCGTAGAATATCCTGCTTCCAGTATTTCCTTCCGGTGGTTCGATTCTCCGCCAACTTTTTCACGCTTTCCAAAGTGAACGTACACAGAACCACCTCCTATACAGACAGCACATTCTTGTTTTATTCGTGTACATAACTTTCATCCAATGTGACCGAATGAAGTATTTGCGGTTGGTGCGTTTCATTCGGTACATCACGTCGCTGTTCAAATGCATCTGTTGCGGTAACCTCTGTGTCAGCCATATTGAGGGGAATTTTGCGTAGAAATAAATGAACGAAACATGGTCATTACGAGACATGACCTTCTGTCCACGGTTTCCATGAATAATGACCTAGAAGGACACGAATTAAATTTGCAAATCCTGAAAAGTGACAACGCCTCAACCAGAATACTCAAAGAGGGCCGACTATAAGATTAACGGAATAAGAAACAGGAAATTTCTCGGATGTACATCTACAAAGTTCGCAGCGTCGAGTCCAAAAAGCCCAACGATAATACTCACTCGGGCCCCGACCAATCGATGAGGGCTTGAAAGGCCGATCTCAATGGCCACCGACCAATCAAGACGTAGGATAACAGACCACCAATAGAATCGCTCGACCGGACGACCTATCAGAATAGTAGGTCATTTCTGGCCTGAAATACACACTGACACACACACACATTCCATCACTCAATGTAAAACTGCTGACGCACCATTTCGCTTCGCACTCTAACAGCGAATTGATATCGTCGATCATATCAACGCTCACATATGACCATATTTGAAGTGTTTATTTCTACCTGTCTACGCGCGTGATCTGTGACTCTCTGTTATCCTCAGTGGATGAATCTGTCAAGTAGTGCACTGTTAGTGCGGTGATTCAGTTATCTTTGGGTAACCAGGAGATCCGGAGAACATGAGGTGTATTGCTCGTCCTTCCATACTTGGAAGGGTTATCTTGCATTTCTGATCTGTAGTGATATCCGACAAACGAATCTCCTCAATCCAGACACAGTCAGCTCAAAGGATGTAGTACATCAATGATCCCAGTGTGTACTCAAACGTGTGCCCGACTGGCATCCTTTTTCATCAGGGTAGGCTTCCTGGCTTTGCAGTGTATTCCAATATCGCAAGGCATCACATTTTATTCAACACTGGTTTTCCGTCGTGTTTCACGCATTCCGAAGCGATACAAACTAAACACACACAATGTGAACCCCTGCTCGTTACTACCTCCTCCAAATATTATCATAAGTTCTCACGAAATAAATCATCAAATGTCGGCCGATTCATAGATCTAGCTTGGAGCAGCAAGAAGAATAAATTCAAATAAAACATTTGCTGTTGTGCACAAAATCAAATGACACAAAATGGTTAATAACAAAATGCTTTGAGTGATATCATACATTGTTATATTAAAGGGATTAGTCAAAATTAATTTGGCAATGCTGTTGAGAATTTCGACGAAACTCTACATAAGCAAATAACTGCTAGAGAGATTCAGGTGAGTTTCTAATTAACAACTGAGTGCATTTCGCCACTTGTGGAACAACTGTCCGAAGCGTCTGTGTATCAACAACCACGTAAGACGACATCCAGAAGGATGACAATGACAAAAAATCAAGTCAATCCGAGACAAAAGACTTATACTACACAGCTTCCAAGGGGAGGTGTTAGGAGGAGCAGCTCCGAACGTAACTGCCGACCACAACTGCCAATGGAATAACTGTTTTCGTTGAGACAGATTTAATTGGTTGTTCTTCACTTGCCCTTGACAGATGAGTTCTATTTTTAGTATCACTTTTTGCTCCATCTAGAACTTTCTATGTGAGCTTCATTAACAGCTCGTTTTCGACTGCCCATGACATGTGT